TTTGCTCCTAGCTCCTGCCACCACTCTTGAATTTGTCTCTTTTTGTACCAAGTGTAAAGTGCTCTCAGGTCATTCCTTTCTCATTAATTCAACAAGCGAAATAGATGCATCAGATCAGATTTGGTTTACTGTACACCATTTGAAGAACTTAGTTGGCTGACATTTTTGAAGTGCACACCGTGCTAACCTGATCTCACTGAATGACTAAATTCTATCCTTTGCTGACTTCATTCTATGATGAAGGCTATCGTAAAGAATAGCCATAAAAACCCCTCATATCCACACCTCCCAAAGCAGGGCAAGCAACTCACTCACTCTCTCCTCTGGGGTCTGGCAATCACCCAGCACACTGCAGCTCTGCTCTAATACTTTGCTGAGAGAAGAAGGATTGCTATTAGCTAAGGGGGTACTGGAATAGTAAGAGCAGCATGGCTTGCACCTCGCCCCCACAAGTGCTACGATAGATGACAAAATGGTCCCAGCTTTGGGGAAAGGTAGGTGAAACGTGACAAGGCTGGAAAGCATACCAGCCTGAAAACAAGACTGTTACCACGCAGTAGCGGCATCATGCTATTATTCCAGTACAGTTCTGCATATCACTCCTTAACGCATACCAACACACACGTCCTCCTAGCAACTGGAACTACAACAAAATATAGCCTAGACTCTAAACCACTGCCAAGAAGCCACCCACAAAACAGAACTCCTACCAGACTGTCACACTAGTGCAAGGACCAGCACTTCACATGATAGTAACTGCTGCTAAAATTCCGAAGTAGCTACCGAGCCTTTTACTCCGTAAGCTTTTTCTTAAGTTCTAATCACTTCAAGTCCACTGAAATATAATCATATAAAATGAACAAGCTTAACTACATCACAAAAACAAGTCAGCACTACGTTGTTCGCTTTTAATTGAATTTATTTAAATAGGATAAGGCTACTTAAAAGACAACTTTTTACATACAAAATGTACATTACGTTAAAGTTTGCTGTACTCAAGTACAAAAACTGCACAAGTGTTTAGTAAAAGGGAAACAGCACACAATATTTCAAAACACACATTCTTACCATTTTACAGCATTCGAGAAGTGCCTTTTATGTCATAACAGTGAATGGAGAACTTCTGTCAGTAATGAATTACGCTACAGTTTTTGGTTTCAATATTAACCAATGTTAAAAATGTAAACAAGCTTTCAGATCACTACTGACAGCTTCTTTTAGTGGGTTAACTAAGCGGATTCAGAAGTCGATTCTTTTTTTTGTTTCTGTTTTACTAAGTCTGGGAGCGTTATTATTATTTACCACCTATATCTAAAATGGATCTAAATTGGCTTCACCCTGAGCCGCTGAGATTTAATAAAAATGTTTCCATCATTTTAACTGGATTTCTGCCTTATAAGGCATTACCAATAATCCACAGGAAACACCAAGTTTCACAGAAAACCAACATCCACTTTAAATTATCAAAGGAAGGGAAAACAGGTTAGTGGGTTTGGCTTTTTTTTTTTTTGAGTGCAACTACATACTCTACTGGTCTCAAGGTACTTCTTTGTCTTCCTGTCCCTCTCCAACTGTTAGTAAGCTGAGAAAGCACTGACCTGCATTCCACAGGTTTTCGCCGTATTTTATTAGCATGATTGTAACGAGGAAAACAAGCAAATTTGCTACATGGGCACATTTTTACACTTATACATGTGTAAAACATGCCTGTGTATTTAAGAGAATGTGGCACTAATCCATTCACTACTTCCTCTCAAAGATTCCTATCAAACAGTCTAATTAAACATACTTCCATCTGTGCATTTCTTATTTCGTACATCAATAAGAGAAACTTCAATTTGAAGTAATGCTGTTAAATAGTTCATCTCTTATTACCAACCTAACTTGCACCGTAAATTCTACACTCCTGTTCTGTGCAACAAAAAGGAAAAAATTTTGTCTCAGACTATCTTATCAGCAGAATGGTCAGTTTTCTCATCTAAATGGATTATCTTTTTGAAGCCAAGAAGGCTCTTGGGATCACTCTGAATCTCAATAGCTATTTTAACTATTTAACCAGAAGTGGAACAAAACTGAATCTTACTGAAACAAAAAAAAAAAAAATATATTTATATGTGTGAATCGTAGTGACATGCAGGAGATGAACTATAATAACCTTGAAAACTAAAAGTGTGGGGTTTAGTATACTGTAATATTACCACCTTTTAAAGAAGTGATGAACTACCTGGTGTACAAGAGTAGACACTCTTAAGGTGACCGGTGATAATGACTCCAGCTTTACAACAGGGAACTTTTAAACTTGTTAAAACTTCACAGCAATCTGAATCCCTGTAAGGTTTAAAAAGAATTGTACTTAAACTGTTTAAATATGACTTATCTGTTTGAAAATATGGAAGTAACATTTATGTTTCAAGCACCATTAGCTACTTCATGGCCATGTAACATGCTGGATTTTCTTCTTTGCTTCCGTAGGCTTCAGGTCATTCTGGAATGCAAGAAAATACATAAGTATTCTTAGACATACTGTGCAAGTGGAAGTTAGTTATTAACCTGCCATATTCAAATCTAGTACTTACTATTGCTGTATGCTCAGCTATATGATACTACAACAGCTTTCTATTGCCATCTTGTGGATATAGTTAAATATCACAGAACTTCTCTAAAGAGAAAAATAAAGCCAATGAATTTAACTACCTGCAAATCATATATGTCTTTTGGTTTTTCTTAATCCTACACTTAGTTATGCAAAAATATCTTTCAATTATGCAGCTTAGAAACAGGTACATATTGGAGTGTCAAAACATACTTCAAGTTATTTCAGATTGCCATCTTAAAATACGTGTTGAAATGGGATCGTACAAGAAAAAACAAACATACAACTAGGAAATCAATTTACTTCTGTCCAATAGTAAAAACATTGGAAAAAGAGAAGGAAAAGTTGGTCTTCCTTTGTAATGACCTGTATAAAAAAGTGAAATAATTGCCAAAGCCTCAGATGAATTCATCTTTCAAGCCCTATCCCAAGAAACCAGAAAAAAATCAAGTAAGCCCAAAGTAAAACAATGGGAGATTGAAGTGGTGAAATAATTACCTTTTCACCATCTAAAGTAAGAAAAAATCTGAGAAATTAGAGCTTTAATAGCTCACACAAGCAGAGTAAAGATAGGTATATGAGTTTTCAAGAACATTCTGCAACAGACTGCTTTAGGGAGAACAATCTGGAGATCTCTCTTCTCATTAAGAGTTTCAGTATTCGTTTATTTACAGCAATCCTGTGGATTGCAACCACTGAAAGGTTTAAGGGACTTAGACCCAGAAGGATAGTTCTGTGCTATTCAGCACAAGAACTTCAGTTTTTCTTGAAAGTCAAAGAACAGCCACTTGCTTGAAAAGGCAGTTGTCATTACTGTATACTAAAAATATATCAGGCTTTACACTCTACGGCCATCTGCCCAGTATACTGATTCTTCCTGGCTGCATCACTTATTATTCAATACCACATTCTTTAATCTCAGACAGTAAAATAACATCCATACAACACACTTGCCTAACTTCAAACGTGTCTCACCGTCATTAACCAAGGCATGACCGAACTTGCCGGTATTAACTTGAACAACATAAACTGTGGCTAAGACAGAAAGTCAAGTGTCAGAGGTCATAGCTTCTGAGTGTCAGTTATACAGTGTCACTTAAAAGTGTTCATCACTGTGTCTACAAAACATTAAAATTAAATACAAAGAAGCTGTGAGATGTATACTAAACAAGTTTCAAAAGCTCTGTAGGTTCAAACCTGACCAGTACTTAGAAGAGTTTTAAAAATTAAAATAAGGTAGTGATACTGGTAGTAGGAAAGACACTTCTCTAGCATAAATTTGACTTGGGGCCTCAGCCATGATTCTTGTAAAAGCTGCTAAAGCTGTCTTTCAGAACAGCCATGTGTTTAGGTGCTCATGTTTAACAGAAGTCTGATGGAACCTACCAATCCATGCAGCCAGGATATTACCTGCATTCTTTCATGAAAGGGTTTTTTTAAGAAGAGATTAATAGAAAGCATTTCATGAGGCAATACTGAGAAAACAGAAGTTAGGTCTGGTGTCCTGGGAAAATGTTAATCAATGTAATTGCACACTGTGTATCTAAAGCTCCCCCTGCAGTTCAACTGAGAACAGGTATTTTTATTTCTTCTTTGAAGCCCAAGACTTATTCCAGACATTCCCATACTCCAGTGGAAATGTGAAAATTCCTTCATTTGTATTATGAAGGAATACAACACAAATATAAGACTTATCCCTACCTCGTGGCATGTTTTAAACAGATGATCCATCACTCCTTGCTCACTGACAAGCCCTTAAAGACTAATCACACCTTTGTCAAAAATAACCACTCTTCCGTCTCCCCAACTGGCAGCTACATTTGGCACCATTACCTACACTTTCAAAGATACGCCCTCCTGAATTCATATATCCTGCCTTAGCTTTTCTCTCATCACTTCAGCTCATCAGCCTCATTCTGCCCCCGTCTGTAGTGTAGATCTCTTCTCTACAGAAAATTTGTTTGCAGCTAAATCTACCTTGCAGAAAGAAGATAACTATTTACCTTTATGGTTAACAGCTCGCTATCAGTCTTCTACTTGAGAACAGCATCCCTCTGTTCAAGATCTCAGCATGTCTTTCTCAGCATCTTATAGAAGCTCAGGTACCTGATTAAGATCACCATGGCTCAAAATGAGCACTTGACCTTTGGCCTCTCACTTCAACTAGTATGGTTTGTTGTTATAGCTTCTCATTCAGACCCACAATCTAGGCAGCTCTCCAGATTTTCACACCGAGTTTCTTCCTCTATCTTGCCAATTCCTATGTGAGATTTAAAACAGATGGCGTTCTTCCTCCAAGGATATATTCTACGGCTCTCAGCATCTTACTGCAGTTCCCATAATACCTCTTCCTTCACTTTGACAAATGAAAGCTTGTTCTACTCAACCATTAAAGTGTGATTGTTACAAATGTTATCATTCTGTTTTTTTCTTCCCTACTACGGAAAACAGACCACTTGTCCTCCCTTTAAGCCTGTTCATGTTGTTCTATAATACCTGTTCTCTCTCTCAGACCTACCAGTAGGATTATTTCATTTGTGTTTTATTTGACTGCTCCCAGCACCACCTCAAGTGTTACCTACTTACTCATTTTAAAATTACATGCATGTTTCCTACAAAGCTACCTCTCTCACACAGAAGTTTCCCATGGACAAGTACAAAGTACTTCATTTCTTTCCTTCTCATCTTTCCCAAACCAGCTACTCTTTTGCCTGTTTCTAAATAAAGATTCTACTATTACTCCAAAGTAAAATAATCCTGAAAATGCTTACAAAGGTCTGCCTTTGGCTCCTGCAAGTTTCAATTAAAAAAAAGCTGCAAAACAAGATACTGGATGTACATACCGGCAAATCAGATTCTTCTTTTGGAACGGCTCTCTTTAACTTCACAACAGTAGTTCCTGCTACTGGAGACAAAGGGTACACCTTCAGACTAGCCAACACACTGCTGTTAGTCTTTGAAATATTGTTCTGCTTAGCCTCACTATTCCTCATTCCCAGCTTAGCGTCCTCTGATAAACTGGAGGCTGAAATGTATGTTGAGGCATTTGAAGGAACGGATAATCTTCTAACAGTGTTGGTGGTGCTTCCAGCTGGAGGAGGTTTTAGGCGATCAGCAGCTCCATTCTCTGTCTTCTTCACCTTTATGCTTGTACTTGTTGAATTGCCATCAAATACAATTAATGGCCGTTTCCTTAAACCTTCCACCGTTGTAACACTGAAAATACAAATTATAAAATTCTCAGAAAGACAAGCTAAATGGTCTAAAAATAGCATATCCAAGATGTGAGTAGTGAAAATTAATTTAGTCTTGCCTAAAGTAAAAATATATCCCAAAATGCTAATGTTAAGCTCTTAGCTGCTCCAAACTTAGGAAACAGAAATTGATTCCAAAATACAAAGGCGGGGGGGGGCGGGGAGCAGGCAGGGGGTTGTGTGAGGAACAGCGTTCCTCAGTGAAGAGGGTTGTGTGAGGAACTTTCCAGGCAGACAATTACAGTTGTATGACCAAAGACTGTATGCTTATACCACTGTAGCTATTCCAGAATAACTAAAGAGGTAATAGCTGTTAAGTATTTCGAAAGGTGAATATTTGAGAAAATGTGTGCCACCTCATCTACAAGAACCGCATCTAATATTCTGACGCTTCTAAATCTCCCCGTTTCCACTCTTATTCAAAATCATAACGTTAAGATAGTCGAAAAGATTGTTAAACAAGGAATGAAAACATTAAGCAAAAAAAGCATGCCTGTTTTTGAAATAAGCTGTCTTTGAACAGGAACCCTAAGCTGATTTAATGACTTTTTTTTTTTTTTAAATAGTTTGTGCCTTTAAGCCTATGTGTAGTCAGAGCTGGCCAATTTAGTAGCAACTGAAAGGAATACTATCCAGCTAATATCAAAACAGTAGTATCAGAAAACATCCTGACTGCCAAAAAATACAGCACAAGGTTATCATAGCTCACATTCACTACACAAATTTAGAGTTTTAAAAAAAGCATTGCTCAAGAATGACAAAGAGAAAGTGTTTGGAAAGTGCAGATTTAACAAATAAAAAAAACCAAACCACCACTAAGTTATATAATATTCCTGTTTAGAAACTTCAGTTTTCAGTACACACTTACTGTTTAGTCATCTTATATTAAACAGGAGAATAAAAGTTGAACTACACTGTTTTCAACAATGAAATATATTCATTAATTTGTAATTAATGAATTTGACAATATTGATGTTAGGTATCTAAACAGCCTTTAAAATAAGCCATAAGCAGAGACTCCACTTGTTTGACTTGGAATGACATTAGATTAGTAGCTGCTCATAAACCTCACATATTAAGAAATTACACATAGCTTGCACAATTTCTGTCCAGACCAGGGGTTGCTTTAAATTGTGACTCCTTTAATTTTTTTTAAGAGCTCATAGAGCAAGAGAAAGTTCGGCTTTTATTCAGATTTGCTTCTACATTACTATCTGTTGACAACAACATATGTCACATAATCCTCATCTTTTTCTATTCATCGGGTTCCCGGACCTGACAGAGACAAAGAGAGAACTTCAATTCATTTGGGACTTGTTTGTCAAGAGATCAGACACAACTTTTTGGCTTAATAGTAGTAGATGCCGTTTCCAGGAGAGCTTCTACAAAATCAGATTAGCTTCCAAGACCAGGAATGTTCAGCCAGGCATGTTGTTTCAGTTAAATACTACTGAAACAACAGTAGTATTTAACACATCCATTAAATTAAGGAGCATAATTTCACTTGAAAAGTCTAAAAAGCTGACACACTTCAAAAATAAAGCATGATACTTTTTGCTCACTTTGGCTTTGTCCAAGAATTTATTCAACACTCCTGACAAGGAACACATTCCCCAGCAGCCTTTTTGGAAAGCTAGTTTACAAACTATGTGAAAGAAAAGAAATCTATGCCTTTTTTCAGTCACCTTCCTTAACATAAGAAGTCTGCTTTTCCTTTGGAGATTTTTTTTTATTAATTCAGCTTGGTGAGGACTGGCAAATCAGGAAATAACTGCACTTCTAGGAGGATTGTTATCTGTTCTAAACTGAATTTTATAACTGTAGCACTTGTACTAATGACCACATGCTATAATACAGATAACATTCCCAGAGAAACACTTTGGGAAAGTTCCAAAAGAAATTTGGACGCTGTATCATCAAGAACTGTCACATCTAATTTTTAGATACATGGCTCACAGAAGAACACAGAACCTTGGGTGTGACATTCATTTCCTTTTTATAAAGTACAGGCAGCTTAAAAGCTTCAGAGCAGGACTCGTGTTAGCCAGCATTCTTCTGAGGGAGGACACTGATGCTAGCTAACAGCTGAAAAGAACCAGTTTGGGATTGTGTTCCCTCCTGCAGGACACTCTCTGTGAAACCTAGATTTCAGTGTGCATCTCCTACATCCTAGAGGAATGTTCTAGCCACACTTTGGGCCTGGCTGGATGGAGGGCATGCTCTAATCCTATTGTTTACTTTGTAGCGCATGGTAAAGAATACAAGATTTACTAGAGGAAGCAAAAGCTTCTCTACATGAGCAATCTGGGTTTCCCCTGTTTCACATGATTACTCATGTAGTCAGGTTGGCCTCCGAGAAACTTCTGATTACGAGGACAATTTAATGAAAAATCCTCCTATTCTTGTCTAGCTTAGGCTGGTACTTAAGGTAGGACCCTAAAACCAGAGAGAAGTGTAGGTTTTCGCTGCCACCCCCTGAGTATACTAAATATTCACCTGCTACCAAAACAGGCAGGTGATCACCTGTGAATGTCTGAAACTGGTCAGAAGTACCATATTTTACACTGAACTCAATATTATCAGCACATTAGCAGTTCTCAGAGGATGCCGAAGTGGCCTCTCAGGCAACTAAGGAGAAATGATGAGCTCTGCCAAGGCCACAGCTGAGCACGCACAGCCACAGTGCTCCTGCAGAGTCTGCAGGTGAGAGTCTTCAGGCTCGATGGCACTTCAGAAACTACATATACATTGAGATTCATACCATCCTCTTTCTTCCAGCAGGCAAGATGAGCTTATAGATCTACAAAATTAACTGTCCCCGAACACAAATACTTTCTGAAATGTCTGAAGCTGGATAGATTACATTTGGTTTTATTTGATATGATTGTCTGCAAGCTGAAATACTCAGTAATCAGACATAGAAACCATCATCTGTGACCGCAGATAACTGATTGTATTATTGAGGTATAACATGTTATTGCAGCTCAGCTGATACACAGCAAGTCTTTTAGGACATGCCATCAATCACCAGCAGTAAAACTAAACAGGATATTCAACACTGACTTTTAAATTTCAGTGTGTTTTTACCTCCTACATGTAACTACTAGAGGCATGCAAACACACACTGAGGCATGCTGATCAAGTCTCCAAGCCTCATGTTAATTCCAGCGCATGTTGCAAAGCTGTGCTTTCCACAGAGGAACTCATCAGAAAGCTCCTGTTGTTCATACGATCAATCAGTTTATCTGACTTCTAGACCGAACTAACAGAGCGCTTAGCTCCCACCTCTGACTCGCACATAACTTACAGCTGCACAATACCTAGGAATTTTGTTTTTAAAAACAAGAAAGCCAAGTTCTACTTCCTCCTCTGCACAGTGGCATCGTGCCAGTTCTGCTTCAGTGGTGCACACAACTATGAGGAAAACTGTAACATTCTAACATCCAAAAAGATGATTGAACTTCTTTGATTCTTTCCGTGAATATACTAAAACTGAAGTTTTCTCTGTGCAACTTTTACTTACTGAAAGTCTATTTCTGCCATTTCTCTGGCATTAGCAATACTAGCAGTAAAAGATTAACTTTTCTAGACAGTATTTTCCCAGCATATTTGTTAAGTATGAAAGATGTAATACAAGCAAAAATAGTAACTGCTGGAAAAGCTTAAAACTGTCTAACAACAGGGCAAAAGACTAAGCCTAGCATGCTAGATGTTAAGTGCTAAGAGCAACTGATAAAGAAAAGCACACTGGTAAATGAAACATACCTCCTTTTACTTACTATTTGCCCAGCAAATACTACATAAGTTTAACCACTACTGAATTTTAGTGTACCAAAATAAGAGCACCTAAACTTATTCTATATATAAATTCTTGATGAAGTCATTCTCCCATCTAAATATTAACATTGCCTCCTTCCCTCAAAAACATCCAACCTATCTTTATTTCTTTGACAAAAAATTCTTTTGCACCTATTTCAGCACACCAACAGTTTCTTATTATTCCAACACTAACCTTATTCTTTCATCCTCAAGTTGCAAGTTGTAAACAATCCGAGGTACTATAACCTTTTATGCACACAGGAGAAAAAAACCTGACATAACAAGATAACTCAGTGCCCTAGCCACTTAAAAAAACAAAACACTCGGCAGAATTTGTTTAGCTCTTCCCAGTTAGAAACCTCAGTAAAGCTAAAACAGACTTAAGAAATCAACAAGCTGTAATACTGCAAACCTATAATAATTTCCATCCACCTTTCCTTTAGCATTTGCTGCTGAAGCTAAATCAGAACACTGCCCATACATATCACACGTCAAAGTCTTGGGCAGGGGGAATGTCGGGAGGAGAAGAGATTCAGTAAAATAAACTTTTAAGGAAGATTTTGCTTTCTGACCAAGTACAAAGGTTTTAAAAACAAGGAAGAATGTTTCTTTCAGAAAGTAGATGTTAGTTTTGAATTGGACACGCAAAACCGCTGCAGCATACACCCCGACTCTAGAATAGACCAATCCTGTCCAGGAAGGAAGCATAATTAAACATGCTTTTGGTACTTTTCTTAAACACTGTAAATATGATTATTACTTAACAATTACAAGGTGAAACAAAAAATTAGTACTTTTTCTTCATTATAAAGTATCTTGAAATGTACCAATAACTCAGTATCAATACAGACTGGGGGATGAAGGGATTGGGAGCAGCTCCGCAGAGCAGGACTTAGGGGTACTGGTGGATGAAAAACTGGACATGAGCCAGAAAGGTGTGCTCGCAGCCCAGGCGGCCAGCTGTATTCTGGGCTGCATCAAAAGCAGGGTGGCCAGCAGGTCGAGGGAGGTGATTCTGCCCCTCTACTCTGCCCTGGCGAGACCCCACCTGGAGTGCTGCGTCCAGCTCTGGGGCCCTCAGCACAGGAAAGACATGGACCTGCTGGAGCCGGTCCATAGGAGGGCCACAAAAATGATCAGAGGGATGGAGCACCTCTCCTATGAAGAAAGGCTGAAAGAGCTGGAGTTGCTCAGCCTGGAGAAGAGAAGGCTCCGGGAAGACCTTATTGCAGCCTTTCAGTACTTAAAGGGGGCGGCCTATAAGAGAGATGGGGACAGACTTTTCAGTGGGGCCTGCAGTGATAGGACAAAGGGTAATGGTTTTAAACTAAAGGAGGGTAGATTCAGTTTAGACTAGACACAGAAATTTTTTACAATGAAGGTGGTGAAACACCGGAACAGGTTGCCCAGAGAGGTGGTAGATGCCCCATCCCTGGAAACATTCAAGGTCAGGTTGGATGTGGCTCTGAGCAACCTGATCGAGTTGAAGATGTCCCTGCTCACTGCAGGGGTGTTGGACCAGATGACGTTTAAGTGTTCCTTCCAACCCAAACCATTCTGGCATTCTATGAAAAGAAGGACTATAAGCTAGATACCATTAATAACATTTGGATGACAACAAAAGATTATCTTCCTCTTTTTCCTGTTATTGCAGTAGTAGAATCTAACACTTCTGACACAGGAGACCTGACACAGCATTCTCTGTAAACTGTAGTAATGTCCAAAAGCCGTACCAGTTTCATTAATCAGGCAAACAAAGATTAAACTAAATGCATTGTCCTAAATTCTCCAAGTCTAGCCCAATAAAAGCTAAATTACCTTTTATTCTCACTTTTCAACTCATTTTGCTGCCTTTTCTTTTCCATCATTTTCCCCCATCTACTTTTTGGTAAGTCACGCTGAGGCAGGGGAATGGCATGTTGAATATAGAGATCAGTGAGACCATCTTTGTCCATCTTTACATCATTTTCGACTAGTATATTCTTCTGTGGGGAACAGAAAAAAAGTTGTTATTATTATGACAAATTCAAAGCACAAGTATCTTAGTGGCATAATTTCTTTTTTCAAAAGCCACTTTACGATAGTGTATTGGGCATAAATGCCAGAGTTTCAGAAGTGAGGGGGCTGCAGGGGTGACCGGTGTGGGGAGGCCATGAACTGCCCTGTGCCGATGACAGCCTGGTCTCCCGCCTTCCTACTGTCAACTTCCCTTGTTTTCCGTGTGGATTACACTCGGTCCCTCCCTTCAGCGAGGCAACGGAAAATAAGGGATGTTTGGGTCAGTGCATACTGGTTTCTTTTTCCACTACCTGCAGGCACATCTCTTCACATATCTCCTCACGTGCCTCTTCCTGTGCGTCTTTTTGTGCCTCCTGATCCTGGTGGCTGCTGCTTTTTGTTAATTGCATTTGAGCATAGGTGCCATGAGCTCTTCTGCTTCAAATTTTGGTGTGATCGGCTGTTTTCATCAGTGTCAGAGACAGTTGGATCCAGCTGCGACCAATACTGGGCAGTTCATCACCTTTGCCCACACAGGTCAACACTGCAGCCCCTCCCTATCCAAAACCCTGCAATTTTTCCCAATAAAAATAGTAGCAAAAAAAAAGGAAAAAGTTGTAATAGACATACTGTTGCTGACTGATGTTTTCATGCACTCTTAAACACACTTCCCTGAATCCAACTACAATACCAGAGTTGTTCTTCACACTTCTAAAAAACAGGCAACTAGAACATAACGCAGTTCAAACTTACAGATGTAGAGCTATGCTTCCTTCCCCAGTTCCCACAGAATAAGCTGCAAAGGGAGATTTCCAGTAACTGTCAGTTATAACAGAACACCAGTTTTCTTTCTAATTGTGTATAGGGTTGCGAAAACAAAATTTCTTGGTACCTTCTGCCAAATTTATTAAAAGAGAAAAAAACCCCACTAACTTCCTACAAATTAGAGGTCACTGAAAGCAGGTCAAGTCTCTGCCACTACTGGTTTTGGCAACACTTCATGACTTCCGAGGTGGGCCTAAAACCTGTACATTTTTGTCCACACAAACTACGTGGACAAGAGCATACAAAAATTCAGAGAACTCATACAAAAACCTAAAACTTTGATTACTATTGTTTCACGCGCCTGAAATTTTCAGGCAAGGCAGTAACAAGTACTTCAAATCACATCAACTGAAGCTTCATACAGTCCAAAACTGTTCACTTTCAAACTCAATTTTTTTCAGGTTTGCATACTTAAAGCATTAGCTTGACCGATTATGTAGGACGCACTTCCTTAATTCACCGGGTATCAACGTGGCAACTGAGAGTAAACAGAGTAAAATCGTCTTTCTACGGATAATTTTACTGTCTGCGGACCCTGGCGCAGGGACCCGCTGACTTGGGTCCATTATTCGTTAGCAGCTACAGC